TCCCGTTTTCTGTCAGCGAGCCCTTCCTGCGCGTTTTACGGCTGCGCGTAACAAGGAACCACCCTGCCAGGGAGCTGCAGCTCACCTGGGAAGCTTTCTTCAGAGTTTCATAAATAGGTCTCCTAGGTGCCATAGAAGCGATTTCCACCATCATCGGAAAACTTGCACCTCCACGTTACGTGCTCATTAAAACTGCCCGTTAACGTGCAAGTTTGGCTAGTTTACTACCGTCCCAGATAACTCCATTTCCCATGGGAGGTAGAGGTAAACACATTTCAAATATGAAACCTGACCTGAGAAAAATAAAGCCTTCCATGGCTCACGCCTTGAAATTCGAATCCAGCCCGCATATTTTTTATTAGCGGTAACTCTAAAGTAAGTGAAATGCAGTACGAATTTGTTATTTGGGCAGTGGAGTGGTGAAAAAACAACACTCACCAACTATCAAGTAGCAATGTTTCTTAACAGTCCACACATGCGCCATTCGTTTGGGCGTGGGAGGTCGAACATTCCACGGTCGAACAACTCCAATGGTTACCTGCCAGAGGTGGTCAGTGGAGCAGGGATGAAGAAGAAACCATGAGAAACGGCCCAGAACCCGAGAAATGGGACCCCTTCCTTGCCCATTGATGCGACTCTCATCGCTGTGCCCTCTTCAACACTACGCTCTCTCTGCTATCTAATCACTCGCCACGTATAGACCTGCGGCGAGTGATTAGATAGTCGGTGGGCGTTCCGGGCCAACTGCGCCAAAGGGAAGGCCATGCTAGATCGCCGGGGCATATCCTTCGATGCGAATTGCGTGTTGGTCCGCACCCTTAGGGGTCCGCCTGTCTCTCCACTAGGTAAGTTTCTCCTTCTTCGACCTTCGTTCTTATCGTGGAATCCTCCTTTAAAGGAATCTTGCGCGGAAAATTCTTGCACTCTTTCCTAACATGAATATGTCAGTTGTGATCACTGGAAATAGCACACAAAGTTTCACGCATGAAGATTCGGTTTCTGAAGAGAAACAAACGTACAAAAACTACACGTTATGGACCATCGAAGGACCAGGAGGCAGAGCCAGGCGAGGCATGGAAAGAAGACGGCGTTTGGCCGGCTACGTACCAGGCGACGCAATGAGAGAATCGGGTTAAAGCGCGCGATTTCGGAGAGTGGAGACAAATCGATCGATGGAATAGGATGGAGTAGAAGTGTAAGATGTGAATGCAACGAAGCAGAAGGCCAGAAAGAGCTTCTAGTGAATGCACTCCAAGAACCAAGTTTGAGCATCCCCGTCGCCAGCATTCGTGAAAGACGTCCGTGGGCAATTCGAACGCGTAGCAGCCTTTTCGAGTTTTCGAATTTCTAATCAAAACGAAAGCAATACTTCAGTTCTTTTCACTATTATCGTGGATAATGAGTCTCAAGCCAGTGATTTATGGCTGAAATAGAATCATGATTTTTCCGCGCAAGATTCCTTTAAGGACGGCTCATATGACTACGGACTCGCTAAGAGTTAATCACTCGAGGAATGAAATTCAAAGCCGTACAAAACAGTTCCCTACTCAATTGGCCTCCATCTTATCCTGACCTCAACCAAGTAAGGCAGAAACACTTAGTCGGTTGTAATCAATTCCTTCAAATTTCATGAATTTTCACAGTGACTCCTTCATCGCCGGCTTGAGCGAAATCATCCCCGGCCTCACATTATTTTCGCATGCATACCTATTGCAACGCATATGCACACATCATGTAAATGAATACCTGTAGGAACGCAGTTGCACCAACTGATCCTTGGCAAGATTTCGACTTTGGATATCCTACGCATGTAGTGAAAAGCGCCATCTTCTGTAGGAGATGTCAAGTAGAGCACCGTTAGATTAAGGTGTAGCTTAGTTTCGCGGAAAACTTATCCATTGAGGTTAGAGTTCAGAACCAATGAATAAGTGTGATCCATGGATTTCCCGTGAAAAAATCATAACTAAATTGAAAAAAAATGCGCCAAAAATTCAACTTTTTTCATTGATACCTCGCCAACAGCCTCATCAATATGCTCTAAGAGCTCTGCCAGGTTTCTAGGAACGACTCCATCGATTTCCACTATCTGAAATTATTCCTTCACATGTTCCATAGCTCAAAGCTGGTGCGAAACAAATGGGCGCGTATGCGACAACATGGGAGCGTTGGGCGGCAATGCCTTCATACACCAATGCAAACATCTCCTTCTTGCTTTGGACCAGATCAAGACCTAGGTAGCGGGAGAAACTCCAGGGTGTACGTGAAGCCTTCATTCTTCCCCGGATTTCCTAACCCCGCGGGTTTAGTGCTCGGGGATCTTCCCATATATATTTGTGATAGCGCCATGAATGTAAAAGTCGAAAGAGCAATAATTTGGCTAGCTCTGAGAGTGCGTAGGCCTCCAATAATAGGCCAGCATTTTTGTTCGTGGGGGGCAGTACATTGATACGAATACTAAAGCTGCAAGATGGTTCACAGCTATGAATTTACAGCTCTGGCGCACAGTTGAACAAATTAGCGAAACAGGTACTTCGCTTTGTGAAAATAAGTTTTCAGTTCGCCGGAGATGGAGTTGCGGTCAGTTCACCAGTAACCATAAGGGGTGGGTCCAAATACCGAATGCCGCTTCAGACAAACCTAGTCTCGATTGCTTATAGATGCTATTGGAGGCAATGCCTGATAGCCAAAACACATTCACGACCATAAGAAAGTCGAATTTCAAGGAATTAAAATGCCTATGCAAGAGACGGTGGTCCACGCACTTGGCGCATTTTGAACAAGTTATACTAGTTTTGTTTGTTATGGCTGTTTTTAACAGGCAGATCGCGTGGCGAATGTTTACCAAAGCATAGCCCGTGGTTTGTGACAAGCTATGGTACGTATACCATGAAAAGCTGAGTTGGAATGAAATGGTGCCCCGGTAGCGTAACTGGTAGCGCACTTGCCCGGAAAGCGAGAGGTGCGGGTTCTAGTCCCGCCTGGGGCGAAAGTTTTGTTCACAACCCAGCATTCTTGTGAAAGTTCAACCTAGTGTTGACTTAAATGCTGCTATATCCCCAAAAGAGCTCGATTAAGGAATGAAACCCACCTGATCGCCAATCACTAGGTGATAAAAAACAGGTGAATTAATAGAGATAAAAATTAAGACAAGGTTCTCGGTTAATTAACATCAGGGTTTTCTGCAAAATGTGATAAAGTACCAGAAGGACGCTAAATTATGCTCGAGCGTAAAAGTCATATCTTGACAAATACAAGTGTTACATAGTTACATTATGTATGTGAAGGTTTGTGTGTCTTCCAATGACAGCAAAATCGTTGAGAACAACTAACAACATTCAAAAGAGAATTTATCAAGAAAAGCCAGAAAGTCCGTTCAACCTAATGATACCATAATCGGTGACAGAATAGGTTGATGTGCCTAATGGCAGACCGTGGCTTTGGAAGCAGATGGCATGACAAAATGGAAGTTGAAAAGAGAGAAATCTGTCTTCTGAAATACAGAACTAGCCTTGAAGGGAAGCACCTTAGAGAAATCCTTAAATGGACCGAGACACAGCATCTTAGGGGAATTCCTCCAGAAAATTCTTGCATTCTTTCCCAACACGCATATGTCAGTTGTGATCACTAGAAACAACATACAAAGTTTCACGCACAAAGATTCAGTTTCCGAAGAGAAACAAACTTACAAAAACCACACTCTATGGACAGTCGAAGGTAAGTTGTGCGGAGCCAAAAGTAGGGCATGGAAAGAGGGTAGGCGACAGGAGGCCCGTCGCGCGGCAGGAAGGCCGAGTCAGCGGACGAGTGGCAGCGCGTACTATATTGATTTCGCGTCAAGTTAATGAAATGTACCACTGTACACATCGCACGACACGCTGCAACTAGTCCTGCTGACTCTGTCTTTTGCCGCGCGACGGGTCTCCTGTAAGATACCCGTGGAAAGAAGTCTGCCTTGGGGCGGCTACGTATCAGGCGACGCAATGAAAGAATCGGGTAAAGCGCGCGATTTTGGAGAGTAGAGACAAATCGATCGATAGAATAGGATGCAGTAGAAGTGTGAGATGTGAATGCAATAAGTCAAAAGGCCAGAAAGAGTTTTAGTGACGGCACTCCAAGAACCAAGTGGAAGCCCCGTCGCCAGCATTTGTGACATATACTTTGACAGATACTTGACTTGTGACATATAGGCGGTACTTTGAACACATAGCAGCCCTTTCGGTTTTTCGAATTATTTTACCAAAACAAATGCATTTTTTTGTTCTCTTCTTTCTCATCGTGAACGATGGGTCCCAAGCCGGTGAATTATGGGTGAGATAGATTTTTTCGAGGAGTCCTTCAACAGCAGTGGGTGTCTTGCACTGCCACGCGGATTTTGTGTGTTTGCATTGACAGATTCACACGACCACACCTAGCAGTAGTACTTTATGCGTACAACCTCAAACTTGGGTAATTAAACGAGTAAACAACTTGTAAACATCAACAATAGTTAGTAACAATGCAACTAAAGTCCCTAAAAGGAAGTGAGAAAAACTGGGTGTCGAGGACGGCCCGGGTGTCTTTTTGTAAGGTCGGGTCTGCAACCAGATCGTGCGGTAGGTGGTCCTGCGGTTGGTCATAGAGTCGTGTCATCCACGACAGTGGGTGCCGGGCAGCGCTAGCTAACCTTCCCCGTGCTGATCGCCGCGTTCATGGAAAGCCTCGCCTTCAGATGGCGGATCCAGCCAGTTTAGTTCGTTATGATGACGTACCTAAAACCTCCTTGAGCGTGTAAGTCAACGGGGAAAGGTATCCCATTTCGCGGGTTGTAGCTTGCTTCTCTTCGTTTTCTCACCGCTGAGCAATTTACCACCTTAACTTCATTTCCAAGTCGATCAATTTATCGTGCCATCTGCCTTGAAGAGTGGTTACTCTCCTGGACAACGCAATGATAGGAAAGCTCACAATGTGTGGCATTTAATTTTATTGATTAAACTCGCAACGGTATGTGTCACTTACCCCTTCTAAGTTAATTTTAACATAAACAAATTTATAATGGCTTGTAGGCGGTTCTTCTGAACGAAAGGTTCGAATAGCAGGCAGTGATGCACTTTTTCTTGCACCTGCAAGATGAATATCGTCTTGCAGGTGAATACACACGATCTACTCAAGAATGCTTGCAAGTTCTCACTTATGTCGACAGGAGTCTTGTCGAGCGTTAGAGACTCTTTAATGCTTCGCGGTTCCATTGGCATCATTTCCCTCAAAGATCGATCGCTTGATGAAGATAATGGCGACCGTGCAGGAGATCGCTCTATTGCTGTCACTACATCTACAGATGGAGACCGGGCTGTTGGTAGAGATCGTTCTCGCGCTGTCGATACTTCCACAGGTGATGGAGACCGTGCTGTTCTCGAAGGCCGCTCTCTCGCTGTCGATACTTCCGCAACTGATGGAGACCGTGCCGTCCTCGAAGGCCGCTCTCTCGCTGTCGATACTTCCGCAACTGATGGAGACCGTGCCGTCCTCGAAGGCCGCTCTCTTGCTGTGGCTACATCATCCACCAATGGGGACCGCGCTCTTCGTGGTGGTGGTTCCTTAACTGGAGGAGACTGTTCCTTGTCGGAACTTCGTTCTTTTGCAGTGTGAAGTTGTGCTTTTGCAGGAGACGACGTGCTCGGTACCCTCCCTACAGACAAAGCTGACCTCATTGATGACTGTGGCGACCGTTCTGTGCTTTTTAATGCTCCTTTAGGAATTTCCGCGGATTTCGAACCCGCTTTTCTCACCATCTGTACAGATTCTGCGCTTTTAGTTCGGGAAACCTCTCGTAGTGGATCCGTCTTTTTCATCATTTCGCCCATCCGTATCACTGCGCTCTTACTTACGACTTTCTGGACCGAGTCTGCTTTTGGCGACGTTTTCGCTTTACGAAACGCCACTTTTTGCAGTGATCCCCCTTTATCGACTGCTGCTAACATTTGTCTGTGCGATTCGACCTTCGGTTTTTCAACTGACTTCGATTTTCTGATCGCCGTGACTTTACTTTCTTGCGCAACCTTTGGAGTAGGCTTTTTCCTAGTCTCCTAAAGAGAGCAATTTCGAAATGTACGTATCTGAATTGATTAATATCTTATCAAGATCTTTTTTTATTCGCCCCACCCCCTTTCGCATATCTGTCTCTAATTCGATGCTGAAATGTGAGGCCGATCACTTACTACTCATTAAATCTGTGAATGATTGTTGTTTGTCGAGAGAATGCAGCACGTTATTTGGGAGCGGGGACGACGGTAATGAATGGAAGCTTATCCTCAGTATTTATACAGGGTGGGCAAAAATTACGGTAACAAGAGCGCTAACAAACATCTCGATTTCCTTCGAACCTAATAAATGCATCTGGCTGAAGAGACCCCGGAGAGAAATCACTGGACACACAGCAAGATAGACCGCCTGTACACAAAGCAAATATTGTGCAACATTGGTTTTGCAGAACTTTCCGAATTCATGACATTAAACGAGTGGCAACCTGATTCTCCCACTTTAAAGGCAAACTCCGGGATTGAACTAGTGCTATCAGCGCTCTGTAGTGATAGCTTAGCTGCGGAACGACCTGAAAGTGGGAAGGAAAGCAAGAGAAATCTCTTGGGAACGCTGAAATTAAGGCCTTAACCTTCAACAGGGTCGGATGTGGTACGATGGCGAGAAAGGGCGGTCAAAGAAGACAAAATACGCGAGAGAGCACGTCGTTTGAGAGAGCACGCTGATCTCTACATGCACGCTGATCTCACCACCTCTCGCGGTGGGTGGGGAGCGTTGGAAATTGGGTCGGATGGTTGCCGGCCCGTAAGGAATAGCGCCCTAACCGCGCAATTTTTGCGACGAAGCTGGAGTGATCCAGTTACGTACGGACCTTGCAATTTCCTTAGTGGTATCCCTCCTACTAGTCGGGCCAATCCCGGGGTTTGCCTTTAAAACAAGTGGGTTTATTCTCCGTGGTCTACTGAAGATGATGGGCTGCTGCAAATGTGAATAAAGCGTCGATGAAATAAAAGAAGATCCTAGAGAAAGCTCGATGTCAACTACGTACATGACAGGCACGATGCATTCCCGAGATGACTTCGCTCAGGTATAAAGCAGACAGCGGCCAGTCCAAGAAGTGTTGCTGTATTCTGTTTGGTAGCTTTCTATGAACACATTGTTGGTGTCCACCACGATGTTTCTTCTGCCGATTGATATCTCGATGTTACCACTATCGTATAACTTCGTATAATGTTTGCCATACGTATTATATATACCAGATTAGTCCCCCGTCAACCGCCGGGACCTTCCTTTCCTGCGCAAGCTTTCTATCCTCCGCTATGGTCCCTTCCTCCTGTGACACCAACACCTCCTGGAAGTGACGCGTATGCAACACAATGGTGTTTCATACAGTAGAAGGGACACAATCATGATATGACGGTAGATTTTTCGCTTCCCTTCCTCATCCTCCCTTCCTCTCTCCACTGCCCTCCAGCTGCCACTGCAGCACCATGTGGAATGAACGGAAGTGTGCTAAGCAGGTGTTTATATAGCCCTAAGAGTGTTATCACAACTATCCTGCTACAAAACATTGATATCTCAAATCCTGTAAGCTACCCGATTTGTTAGCGGTTTGTTTATCCCATGAGCTTCCTTCTCACTCACTTCATTTTGCGGACGGACACACATACATACATACACACACGCACACACACACATACAGATACACAAACCGACACACAAAGTTAGCGCTTTATAAAATAGAAGGATATTGTTTTTAATAATAAATAAGAGATAACGATACACACGGAAAATTTCCCCTTTCGGTGCTGCGTCCAGCTTCTATTAAAATTCTGCCCCGCTCCAGGAAGCTGCTTCCTTGTTTTTCCAAAAGCTCTCTTCTGCGTCAATCTCTTAGCTACTGCGTAATAAGTCTGCTTCCCTAAAACACACTTTCCCTTAATGGACAATTTATCTTTAGAAGAACTGCTCTTAGATGAGACTCCCTCATTTTTCACACCATTTTTCTCCTTCACAAAGATGGGGCGACTTATAAGCGGACAGAAAAAAACATCGCCCTCTTAGTAGTAGGAAATGAACTTACCCTCGTTGAGGGTATCAAGTGAGACCAGGTTGGAGTCACTGTATACGAAGACGGAATTGGAGACAGTGATCACGATGGCTGGGGGGCAGCACTATCGAAGGCGTAGAAGAAGCACGGCGCCCACCACTACCTTCAAAGCCGGTAATGCAGCAGCGACCATCAGACACTTGAGGAGTCTAGCTCACAACTCTCTATGCCATCGGGTACTTTTTTAAAAGCAAAGTTAAGTCGAGACGACACAAAGACCCCATCTTTGCTTCAATCCATGTACTCTACCCCGATCCCAATTTATGGAGTGAAATGATCACCGCATTTCTATCGACTGTGGTATGTGACATCCCTATTTCTGTATACTCAGCAGAATATGGTTGCTCTTACGACACCCAGCACTCCACGCGCTAGCTGCGCAGCGTACTGAGCCTGCCATTCCTTTCTGAGCCCCCTCCCTCCCCCAGCAGCAACGTCCTTTGATTATCATTTGGATGAGGTATTCCACTTCAGTGCGTATCCTATAACTTTCCCATGGGATGCGTTATCAATCAAAGCATGATCTTTGCTGAAATGATAGCGGCTATCGGTTAACATGTGCAAACGACCTCCTAATTGGTTGCTAGCTCGTCCATTATCGGAGGTCAACGGGCAAAGAAAGGGGTCCCATTTTGCGCGTTCTTGACGGATTTCTTTGCTTTTTTCGCCACTGGGGCATTATTCAGCATCTCCACTTCCACTATGAACCCAGTCCAATCTTATCGTAATCCCTCGCTTTAAGGGAGAATTAGAATCATGATGATTCTGTTGAGACTTCCTTCAAAAGCAAGCTTTGGGATAAATTAGGTGTAGAGGAGCGTTACTAATGTATCCGGAGAGGGGGAAGGGAAGGGTGAGTGGTCTGGAAAAGAAGAAGAAAGCAGGATTATCCCCCGGCTACGCCCTGAGTAAGGACCACATCTATTTCAGCCGCATTCATTCTTGGGATAGAGGGGCACCTTGGACGAGTTTCACGAGCTCAGCTGCAGTTGCTCCAGTGCCAATTGAACCGCAATGGAACCGCTGCCTCAATGCGCCCGCGCTTTTCAAGCAGCGCCACGTGGCAACCGACAGCGGAAGGTGGGGCTTGCGGACGAAGGAGTGGATTGTGGATCGAGCGAGATCCGAGCGCCTTTGTCAAGCCAGCAGAGCACTTTTGCGGCTTTGAAGCCGCTTGTATCTAGTATCTTTATCTTGTATCTATGTATCTATCTTGTACCTACAACATCAACGCTTGTACGCCTGCCTACTACGCTCAGGTATGAACCAGGTGTGTGCGCACAATCCCGGAGCGTACCTTTCAATATGTGGGAGGTATTTGATTGGCGAAAGTGTACTGCAAATTTCATAAATTCAGTATCCTACCGATTCCGACTCTTCCTTCTGGTCGAGAGTTTCCGGTTTCTCCAGAGTTTGAAATATGAACTCTGAACTGGTACAAAGATAAGCTCCGTAAGCTTTCAGCGCTGCTGTCATTTCTTTCAAACGAAAGTAGAAAGCCCTTCGATTTCACTCGAATTCAATGGACTACATAGTTTCGCCATTTCCAGCGCAATCTACTTCTGCACATATG